TGTTGTCCGTTCATATCTAACCAGACCTAGACTTCAGATAATTCACTTGTAACAATGTAGCAGGCATGATATACAGTACAGAACTAGTGTCACATAGTAGGTAAAAAAGAAACAGTAAACTGAACATGTAAAAAAGCACATACAAATCACTGAATATTGTACTTTTGGGTCAGTTTACACATCACAGCTTAACCTTTCCTATTTGGATTCAGTTGGCAACAATTCCAACAACATTAGTGAGTTCAATTTTGGAACATGTAGATCAATACACTATTTTCAATGCTTTCCGCTCAAACAATATCATATTCTTAACTAATGCCTGCTTAACAATAAAAGAATATAAATAGAAAACTGAAACAATGCTCTCAGGAATATAAAGGTTCTGATCACTTACTGTCGTTTAGCTTCAATGTCCTTGTTAAAATCAATGTCATTTTCACAGTCCAGGATCAGAGCAGGAACCTAATTCGGAATAAGCATCAATATGTGACCAAATAACTCCTTACAGATCACACTTGGGCAAATAAAGGTAGGAGAAAGTTACCTTCTGGATACTAGAATGCATATGATCTCCTTCCAGGAAGAACACTCGATCTCGTATTTCTGGATGTAGTGAGCCCTCCATATGAATTGGAAGCTGACTGACTGACAACAAACCAGAACCTTGCCCTTTGGACGGAAGTAGCCAGCTTTCATGTTTCTCATGCAAACCTTGAAGGTAATCAAGACTGACACCACCCTCCTCAGACCTTTTCCGAACCATCATTCTTTTGTGGCAGGTGTCAGGGCTAGCTCTTAGATAAATAAAACCATCAGGGACAAGACCCGGGAGAGATGACACAACTGGGTCGAACCAGGAATCGTAAATGCTGATTTCCATCTCGTTCATCCACTTAGCTTCATGAACAGCACGGACAAAAACCTGAAAATCAACACGAGTTTACTCTCATTAAATAGGAAAAGATGTTTACAGTGGGATAGATCAAAAGTGAAAACTAGTGTTTTCGGCAAAGATATGACCTACCATTCTATCACTGAAAACACTTCTTTCCATCAGCCGGAGAGGCTTTATTCCACTTGAAGACTCCCTCTCTTGCATCACCCTTGTCACAAAGACGTAATTCTGGAAAGTGTAAGCATACCTCTGTGGTTCAGCATAGAAAGCATCAAGTATGTTAAAGTGATCAGGCCCAATATCCTGCCACTTTGCAACAGGTTCAGGTACTATTTCCACAAGGTCACGTAGTTCGATAGTCTCGTTGGCAATTCTTTGAAGGAATGTAGATTTCCCGACACTGATATTCCCTTCAACACAAAAGGTGAGCCTCTTTCTTCTGCAAGGCTTAGATGTGTCAGTGTCTTTCACCTCCTCATCAATGCTCTCTTTAATGAACAAAGTTATACTCTCAGCATGGTTCTTGTGTATGATGCCAACTGAACTTTGCAAGAACTCAACCATCTTCTCATCAGACTTGCCAAAGAACTGCAAAACTCAGGAAGTGTTAGCTCTAGGTGCGTTGAAGTTAAATTGAACCGGCAGAATTTGAAGTGAGGAAATCACCATCATATTCATAAGACAGGATTGTGACAAAGAACTAAAGAGAATAAAATAAAGCAAACCCAGAAAATAACAGACAAAAGTAATTTGTTCTTTTTTCCTTCAAACTTAAGAATTTCATGGTGATAATGCTCCAAAGCCTCCAATGATCACATAGTGGGAATCAAATTAACTTGTTTTATGCAATGCTACAATCAATATGATTTTGAGTTTTTGACAGCATATCTGAAGTTTGTGAGATGCAGGGTAGGCCTAGGCATAAACTTCAGGACTAAATCGTTGCTGCTGTAGATTTTGGAGCCAATGTGCATTTAGCAGTGCTGTCTCGAACTCTCGATTACTAAAACTGAGTGACCACCAGAATTCTAATGCCGAGTTGGTGATCAAGGACGGACTAAATTGCTTGCAATCACAGTACACCAACTGTAGTATGCCAGAATGCAGGTCTAAACATATCAGTTGCTTGAGCTAACAATAAGTGGTTGTATGTGCCGATATTTTCTCAGGCAACATATGTCAACAGAAATCTATTTTCCATGTGACCATGTCAACTCTGGCAATTCAAAGGAACTGGTGAAGAATCCAAGCATACGTGTTGCTTACATACTTTGCAAACTACAATAAAACAAAGACAAACAGTACGAACAATCCAGAACAGCCCACCCACGCACGCACCTTATCCCGATAGAGCTGCTTGAGCGGCGCCACGCCATCGAATCCCTTCTCAACGAGCTTCCTCTGGTTCCGCGGCCCGACCCCAGGAATGGCGAGCAGCTCCCCGCTCCCCGTCGCCGCATCGCCCCGGCCTCTCTGCCTCCTCTCTGGCGAATGACGACCCCCACCTCCTCTGGAGGCCCTACCCTCTTCATCTTCCTCTCCCTCTCCCTCTCCCGCGGCAATATCCCCGCGCCTCGCCGCCTCAGCGGAGCAGCAGAGCCCCCTCCTCGCGACCGCGCCGTCACCACCGCAGCGCAGCCACGGCAGGGGGCGGGGGCGCGCGGTGCTCGGTACCGAGCAAGTGGAGAGGGACGGACCTGCCAGGCGGAGCGCGGGCATGCGGGAGGAGGGCAGCAGCGGCCGGGCCGGGGCCGCGGCCGCGTCGAGGAAGGAGGCGGCTCGGGGGAGAATCCTGTGCATCGCTGGCTGAGGCGACGGGGGCGACGGAGGTCGGTCTCCGGCAGGCCACCGACCGGCGTGGCGGTGGCGGGCGGCCGGAAGGGATTGGGTTGCGGTGCGGTGGGGTTTAGGGTTTTGGCGTTATCATCTCGCGGGGCTGCCGGGATGAGGATGGGGAGGAGGTGGAAGGAGAGAGCTGGCGCGGTGCACACGAATGGTCCACGGGGACTCGAGCCTGTGCTGGGTCCACGGGAATTGAAAATGCGTAACACTTCGTTTGGATGTTCGTATTCAGGCCTGGCATTGGGTATTGGCATTCACCTGGGCCGAATAAGACGGCCGATGTCTCGATGAAATCACTTGTTGAGGAGTACTGGTTGCAAAAATCTCTCGTGTGGATTGACAAGTTTGATTGACTAGGGAGAGAGATCTGACGAAAATGGAGGTTTGAGCAACAATGAAGCTTGGGAAGGGAAGAGGTGTTCTTCTTGGGGAAGAAGACCCCCTTTATATAGTGGGGGAAAAGATACAACTGTTATCCCTTTTCTTAGCGCGCACGGCGTGGTATTACTGCACAAGGCCGCGTACTACCGCTGCACAGTGTGATACTACCGCAGACCAGGTGAGGACCTGTTGTAGAGGGCAACGAGCGGTAGAACCGCTGGAGCGGTACTACCACGCACCCCTACGGTACTACCGTAAGGCAGGGCTCAACTGGCACTGGAAAGGCACGGAAGTAATAAATTACGTTCGTAACTACTTCCGCTGAGGTTAGAGCTGTGCAAAAATCCGGCACAGTACTACCGCGAAGAGGCGGAAATAAAAAATTACATTCGCGTCTACTACCGCATGCGTCAGCGTCAGGACTGGAGGCAGCGAGAGCGGACTCGTTGAATTGATGATCCGCGTCTTCTCTAGGAGTGAAGTTGCTTGTATCGTGCAGGTAAAATCCTTGCTCAATAATTCTCCAAAGATTAGTAAAACTATGATTTAAATGACGTTTAAAGCGATACTGAAAGCACAAGTGCTCCCTGGGTGATTTAGGTAATTTATGTCAACATATGTCTTGTTGGACTAATACTTTTATCTAGTATATTTTAGATGAGTCCAATAGTGAAGTGGTATGGACAAGAGGATGTGGACCCCTTCAAAATGCTAAGGACAAAGGCCTGGCTCAAGCTTCAAAATTCAAGACTCTACATTTTATCTTTAGTGATTCAAGATCACATTGAGTCTATAGGAAAGCCAATGCTATTAAAAGGGGATGAGGTGTTGCTTAATGGCTTGCTTGCTCTCATGATGGTTAATGATATGCTCCAAAGCCCTCAACCACTTTCTCATATTCACATATGTCCCAAACCAAAAGTCAAACTCGGCCCCACCGAATTGATCCATCCGGCGCCACCGAGTTCATTTGACATAGCCACTGCCAGAAACCCTAGTCACTTCGGTCCAACCAATAGGGATCTCGGTCTCACCGAGATGGGATTGCAAACTCTCTGTTTCCCTTCGTAATGTTTCGTTTAACCGAGATGAACCGATCGGTCACACCGAGTTTGCAATGCAAACTCCCTGGTTCCCTTTCGTAATGTTTTGGCCCAACCGAGATGAGCGAATCGGTCCCATCGAGTTTGCCTGACCAACTCTCTGGTTAGCTTATTACCAAAGTCGGCCCCACCGAGTTTGTGTAATCGGTCCAACCGATATTACGTTATGCCCTAACCCTAATGATCTCGGTCCCACCGAGTTGACATGTCGGTCCCACCATAATTCCTAACAGTCACATTATGTACTGAATCGGTCCGACCGAGTTTTATGATTCGGTCCCACCGAGTTTGGTATATTATGTGTAACGGTTAGATTTTGTGTGGATGCTATATGTACCCCTCCACCCTCTCCTCATTCCAGAGGAAAGCCATCAGAACGTGCCTACACTTCCACTACTCATTTTCTGAGAGAGAGCCACCTACTCATGTGTTGAGACCAAGATATTCCAATCCAACCATATGAATCTTGATCTCTAGCCTTTCCCAAGTTTCTTTCCACTCAAATCATCTTTCTACCAAATCCAATCCTATGAGAGAGAGTTGAGTGTTGTAGAGACTATCATTTGAAGCACAAGAGCAAGGAGTTCATCATCAACACACCATCTATTACCTTTTGGAGAGTGGTGTCTCCTAGATTGGTTAGGTGTCACTTGGGAGCCTCCGACAAGATTGTGGAGTTGAACCAAGGAGTTTGTAAGGGCAAGGAGATCGCCTACTTCGTGAAGATATACCCTAGTGAGGCAAGTCCTTCGTGGGCGATGGCCATGGTGGGATAGACAAGGTTGCTTCTTCGGGAAACCTTCATGGGTAGAGTCCTCCGTGGAATCGCGCAGCTGTTACCCTTCGTGGGTTGAAGTCTCCATCAACGTGGATGTACGATAGCACCGCCTATCGTAACCACACCAAAAACATCCGTGTCTCCAATTGTGTTTGCATACTCCAATCTCATCCCTTTACTTTCTTGCAAGTTGCATGCTTTACTTTCCGCTGCTCATACACTCTTTTCATGCCTGCCTGAATTGTAATGTGTTTTGCTTGAAATTGTGCTAATCTATTTCCTCAATTTGAAAAACTTAAAAACTGCCAACTTTGTTCGTCGAGGGTCTAATCACCCCCCTAGACACCTCTTCTCGATCCTTTCAATTGGTATCAGAGCTTTTGTCTCCATTGCTTTGGTTTAATCACTATTGGAGGAAGATGGATAAGTCTACGTTGGAGAGTCTTAGACATAGAGTGCCCATACTTGATGGAGAGTACTTTCATGAGTGGAAAATGAGATGCTTGTGATTTTCAATGAATATTATTTGGAGAAGTACATTACTAGCCCTTGTGCACCTCACGTTGATCCTATGCATCCTACCCTTGATGAGTCCATTGACATGGTTCACAATCTTAGAACTATTAATCTTATCACTAGAGGTTTGCCTAGAAACTTGATTGGTTGCTTGCCTACTCTTGATTGTGCCTACACTATATGGAGATTTCTTGAGGAACGATTTCCAAACTATTCCTTGCAAAACTTAGATGAAATCCTTCATAAGTCTATTGCCTTGAATAAGATGAATTCCAATGATCCTAAGTTTGGTGATTGCCTTTTTGAGCTTACAAATCTTATGTGTGCCAAAGGAGATGTAGGAATCATTAGCGATATTATTTCCGAAGCTATTAGAATTCATAGAGATGAACATTGTCAAAATCATATATCTAATGAATCATTTTCTCTAGGAGATGATCATTTGCAAGATGATGTTGAACATGGATACTATGATGAGGATGATCTTGATGATGCGATGAGACACTTTGGTCTTATGGAAAATCTTCGCGGCTACATGGCTAGAGGAAAGGAATGGGTCCTTGATAGTGGATGTACCGATCACATGACCGGAGACAAGGAAATGTTTCGCGATCTTGCTGGAAACAACGTCCCTCAAAAGTATGTCACTTTTGGTGATAGCTCAAAGGGTAAGGTGGTTGGCCTCGGTAAGGTGGCTATCTCACATGATAGCTCCATACAAAATGTCATGCTCGTTGAATCTCTTGGCTATAATTTACTTTCGGTATCTAGACTTGCTGATTTCGGTTTCAATGTCCTATTTACCAAAGTAGACTGCCAAGTGTTTCATAGAGATAATCATGAAATGGTCTTTACCGGTATACATAGAGGTGATCTATACATTGTTGATTTCACTAAAAAGGCTCAACCTAGAACTTCCTTAGTTGCTAAATCTTCTAAAGGTTGGTTGTGGCATAGAAGGTTAGGTCATGTGGGGATGCGAAACCTTGACAAGCTTATTAAAGGTGATCATATCCTTGGTGTTAAAGATGTCATATTTGATAAGGATAGACTTTGCAGCGCTTGTCAAGTAGGTAAACAGGTTGGAGGAAGCCACCCCGTGAAGAACGTCATGACCACGAGGAGACCGCTAAAGCTACTTCACATGGATCTTTTCGGTCCCAACGCTTACAAAAGTCTCGGTGGAAACTCATTTGGTCTAGTTATAGTTGATGATTTTTCAAGATTTACGTGGGTGTTCTTTCTTGATGATAAATCACAGGTCCAAAAGATCTTCAAAAATGTCGCTAGGAAGGCCCAAAATCAATTTGATGTGAAGATCAAGAAGGTTCACAACGACAACGGAACGAAGCTCAAGAACGCCAATGTGGACACCTTTCTTGACGAAGAAGGTATCTCACATGAGTTCTCGGCTACGTACATGCCTCAACAAAACAGAGTTGTTGAGAGGAAGAACCGGACACTCATCCAAATGGCGAGAACGATGCTTGATGAGTACAAGACGCCAAAGCACTTTTGGGTGGAAGCGGTTGAGACAGCTTGTCATGCAACAAATCGCTTGTATCTCCACAAGCTACTCGGCAAGACGGCGTACGAGCTTCTCACCAGTAACAAACCCCAAGTTGGATACTTTCGAGTATTCGGCTCAAAGTTCTACATTCTTGATAAGTATCGTCACTCTCAATTTGCTCCTAAATCTCATGAGGGTTTCCTACTTGGTTATGGCTCAAACTCTCACACTTACCGTGTCTACAATAGTTTCACTGAAAGGTTGAAGATATAGTAGATGTGAAGTTTGATGAATCTAACGGCTTGCAAATAGAGCAATTGCCAATTGATGTGGGAGACAAAGACCCTTCGGAAGCAATCCAAGACTTGTCTATTGGGAAGGTCCGTCCAACGGAGGTGAAGGAGACTACCTTGTCTGTCCAAGTGGAAGCTTCTACCTCACGCCAAGGTGAATCAAGAGTCAATATGGAAGCATCCACAAGTGGGACACACCAAGATGAAGAAAACGAGGAAGTACACCAAGATGAACCTCATCAACCTCCTTCTCCACCACGACAAGACAATGACAACGTCAACAATGAAGAAGGCCAAGAAGAGGAACGAGATGATGAAGATTATGTTCCACCCCGATCAAAGCAAAAGCTCTCACGAGTTCGAGCAAGAGTCGCCAG